CGAAGTGAATGTTTGACGGAACGCGACCAGATGTGCAACTCAGATGTGCGAGGTCAGCTGGCCAACTCCTCTGGCAGAACGTGATCAACGAATTTGTTCGACGTATTCCATTCAATTTTTGCTACAGCATAAAGCAGTGTTAAATTTAGAAAATATTCATTTACATTAAAGTACTTGTCTGCTACTTGTTTGTTTGTTTTTCAGCCGTGAAAAAAATAAAAAGACAGAGCAGTTAAACTGGAGCATTTTTTATGCTATCGTGTTAACAGCACGGAAGGCAACCAAAATATTCTGTACCAGTAATTAAACGCTTCTACGGAACGGAGGGTAGCCATTATTCGGTTACCGTACCTGATGTCTGATACTGTAGAGTTGTTTGTTTTATAGAGTATCATCCTGATCATCATGATCAAGATAAGTAACTTCCCCATCTGTTATTGATTCTAGTGCAATGAGTGCAGATTTCTCGATCGACAACTGCTTTTCCAGTTTCGCCATTGACTTCTGAGACTAAGGCATAGTGATTGATATGAAAGAAGGATAAGAAGCCAATGAACGATGTCTGTTAGGTAGAAGATTTGACTCGCTGATAAATTATGATTGTTCTCGCATGTTGCAGCGCTTTAAATCGATAAATACAGGATTACCATTCATATACTGCAATACAAAAATATCTATAGTAGGTCAGTGCTTGAGGCTGATTTAAAATGACAATCAAATATGACATCCTTCGTTCAGGAAGACGACTATACGAATTAATAATGTACTGGAAACTAACGTCAGAAGATGAGGTACACTACTTTCAGAGTACGCAACTTTATTCAAATCAAAACATAGAGAATATGAATAACAGAGTCAGCCTCGATTCATTCATATGGTCACACCAAACATCTATTTCGTTTATCGATTGCTGTAGCCCGTTCCTCATAGGCACTCTCAAAGCCGAGGCGTATCACTCATCCCCTAGAGATGATATCGTGGAGTGAGATTTTTCATAACGGAACAATGCCATTCCACTGGCAGTGGTATACAATGCCATGCTATGGCCGTATGTCATCCATCAATTGTTGGAAGCCAACTGCTACCAAGTGGTAAAGCAATGGTCTACCAACGGTGGCCGATTGGAAAATAATTTTCAGCAGGATACGTATGGTCAAAAAAATAAATTTTCCGCTGTTCAATAAAGTTATATAATTGTATGTTTATTCCTCTGAATAGTGGGTAATGTTCACCATTGTCAGTCAGTTAGATTAATTAGGAACGATCAAAATTTACTACCAACGCAAGTTATTGAATCCAGAGTAACATTATTACAATTATTATTGCAACAAGACTCCATATTTTCAGAAGCAGTCGTCGGAACAATTTTCAGCTTATTCACTGTTCACTTCTCATAATTCCGAGAACTAATGGTATTGAAGAGAAAATAAACGACTT